GCCACCTCCAATGTGCTGCTCTGTGATCGACACTCTAAAAAAATGAGGCTGCTTTGAACACACAGGGAGATTATTTTCTAGAAGGTGTTGGGTCTGAATATCTTGACTCTTCAGATTTCCTTCACTTGGCACAGAGGATAACTCCTCCCTGATCCTTTCTTCCCTCCTGGGGCTGTGCTGGAGCCCTCGAGGAGTGAGGGAAGGGGAGGACTTGGAGTCCCTTTGGCTCCCCCAACCCCACATGCTTCAGACTGACCAACTGGTCTTTCAATGTTTCCCTCCTCTTCAGTCATTAGTCCAGGTTTTTCCAAGATGATCCATGTATTCCACCTGGTGCTGGTTCAGCTGGCAGTGTTAGGGAAGCTGGTGGAGGGTGGGATGCTCATGGTTTACTCAGCAAGGAGGAGGCACCAGGACTGCATGCTTGGACCAAATATTCGGTTTTTATCTCATGTTTGGATGCATCCTCACCTGGTGTAAGCCAGCTCCCTTGGCTGAGAGCCCAGGGTGCTCTCTAGAGACATGGACATGGGCTCTGCAGCTGAGGTTTCCAAATCTTCCATGATCATCAGGCAGCCTGGAGTTTCCCCAAGCTCCCTGGATCTCCAGGTGTCCTGTGGGGTGGCTGGGCACTAGAGAAGGGATCCCTCCTGGGTCAGGCACCTTTTGGGGAGCTTGCATTGCTGCTGCCACTCCCAGGGCTCCTGGTTTATCCCATGGCAGGTAGTGGGAGACTGGGCCACCAGGGATCCAGTTGGTGAATGCTGTGTGGGCTGTTGTGTCTGGGCTGCTGCTTCCTCCTGCCTTCAGGGTACATCATCCCCACCAGTGTCTTCCTCCCACTGCTGGAGGTGCTGTGCAGTGGAAAAGCTGCTGCTCTCCATGTTTGAGGCTCCTGCCAGGGCTGCTCCTGGTGGCACTGTAAGCAGTCTGCCTGGAGGCACACCCAGCAGGAGGAGGGTTTGGCAGGTGAAGGTAACATGGCACATGCCTTTCCCTGAGCTGGGGCAGGCTTGAGCTCCTGTGGACATGGTCTCACCCCTGAAGGGAGCAGCCACTTCTACCCTCAAGATGTGGTGTGGTTGACCCTGTTGTACTGCTCAGTAGACACAAGTGATGGGAATTTCCTATCCCAGCTCCAAAATCAGCTCTGTCTGGGATACTTAGAAATGGGTTGGAAAGGTGTCTCGATCCTCCCACCATCACTAAATTCCTTGCAGTTCTATGGCATGCTTCTGGCACTGTGAGGGTTAACCACCAGGCTTTTTCAGCATTCATAGGACCGGGTGGACATTTTCAGAGGTTCCCAGCTCTGCTTTGCCCAGCTCTCTAAAATTAACCATGTAACCTTCCTAAAAATACTCAGAGGGTAGTAGCCTCTGGAGAGCACCAGCACCACTTGCTCCTGGTTTCTAGACCAAGCCATTGGAGAGATGAGATCACCTGCCAGCCTGTGTCTCACAGCCAGCCCTGGAAAGCCCTTGGCTTTCTCAAAGTCTCCTGCAAGGTACAAGAGTCCAGCTCTTGACCTGAACCTGCCTTTCCAGGCCAGCCCCCTTCCTGCACCACCCTCCTCTTCTTCACATGCTCTTGTTGGGAGCTGGTACCTGCCCACACATTTCTGCACGAGGTGACAGTGCCAGATTCAGGTTTAATGTGCCGTGGGCAGGAGCATCACCAGCTGCACCAGATGCCTTTGGAGGGAGGAAGTGTCCATGGCCTTTCCCTGGAGCAACCCCCAGGCCTCCCCATGGGTGTGGGAGGCCCAGGCAAGGAGGAATAGCTGGGCCCTTCCTCTCTCTTTTTTTTTTTTTAGGCATGTGGGAGGAGGACATAAAGGGCTTGAGGAGGAGGGAGGGAGCTGAATTTTCCATGAGCAGCTGTCAAAATGTAATCTCCTGCGTTGCTCCGGCTGGCAGCTTAGGCAGGATAAATTAACGGGGATTTTGGGGAATGTGGAAAATACCATGGCCTGGAGGGGGCTGGCCATGTGGAGAGCAGCTCTTCCATCCTCAGGACAGGCTCCTGCCTGAACTGTGAAGGATGTTCCAAGGCACCGGGCTTGGTGCCTGCTGCTGGCTGTCCCCTGGCCTCACTGGTTCTCTGCCTGTCACCTTCACCCAAAGGTCACCTGGAGAAGGGGTGGGGAGTTCACCTCTGCCTCCCCTTTCCCGCTGGTGGTGGGCTCCTGTGCCTGCCATGAAGGGAAACACAAGCAGTTGCTTTTGCAATGTCGAGTATTTGTGCCGACAGCTGGGGTGCAGGGCAGCCCCCGCCCTGGGGGCCCTTCCACACCAGCTCCTCACTCCTGCTCAAACTCGGGAATTTACACAACTGCATATTCATCTTTCCTTTTTTTCCCCCCTCCATCTTGTGGAATGCAGAGCCAGAAAAGTGTGTGTGTGCTTCTGCACTTGGCTCAGCCCCCAGACCTGTCTGGCTGGAGGATGCCACATACGTGCTGGGGCTTGAGCCTGGGCCCGTCCGTCTGCCCAGTGTCCCCACGTCCTTGCCACAGGGCTGTGGCGGTGTCAGGAGTCCCGGTGCCCCAGCCAGCTGCCCGGGGAGCAGTGAGGAGCATGAGGAGTGTTCATGCCAGCTATTTATAACCGTGCTAAAGCTATCCCAGCTAGCAAACAGGCCTGGAGATACAGCAACAGCCGCTCGCTGGAGCCTGCAGAGCGCCCTGCTCGTTGCCTGGCCCTGCTGCTTTGCTGGCAGCCGTGCCCTGGCACCACAGACCAGGCAGTTTCATCTGGGGCCTTTTCCCTTTGCATTGGTTGCACGTCTCATAGGATCCCTTCGGGTGCTGCCGGAGCTGGCAGATCTGGGACAGCTGTTTAAAATAACACATTGGCACAGAAAAGGGGGGACCAGAGGAAACGAGGTCTGCCCACACACAGCACAGGGAACAGCACTGAACCTCTACAAACGCCGTGCCCTGACACAGAGGTTGCAGACAAAATGCCTTTTCCAAAGGGAGCCCTTCACAGCCGTTCCAGGGACTGACTGCTGAAAGCAGTGCCCAGAGCTCCCCGGCAGGGACCGGTGCCGGTGGCGCTGGCAGAGCATCCGCCAGGCAGGAGCAGTTCAGGCGGGGACAGGGACAGGGACAGGCGGCTGCCAGGGCAGCGGGCACCGGGAGGGTGTCTCACAAGGGGAGGCCAGTTGGGTCTTGCAGCAGGCAGCCTGGGAGGCTATCTGAGCTATCCACGCTATAAATACACCGGGCGGGTAAACACTTGGGAGGAGGGAAAAAACCAGCTGCTTCAGCTAATGGGCACGGCTGCCACAAGGTATGAATCGGTCAGGAGTAAAATTAGGCTGGAGAGGAGAAGGCACTCCCCTGGCTGGAGAGGAGAAGGCACTGTCCTGAATGGAGAGGAGAAGGCACTGCCCTGGGTAGAGAGGAGAAGGCACTGCCCTCTCGCCTGGGGCTTGGTGCAATTGGGGCCAGACTCAGAGCAGACACCCCGTGGCTCAGCCAGGCTGGGCAGGGATGTGTTCCCAGGGTGGCAATGCTGCAGGCCAGCAGGACAGCCCACTGGAGGACTGCTGGGCTTGAGGGCTCCTTTTAGCGGGTCCTTTTAGAGCCAATCCCATACCATCCATGGTGCTCATCCTTGCTGCACCCTCCTGGGAAATAAGGACACTCTGGAGGGGCAGGATCCAAGGACCTGGGAAGTAAAGTGTTTATCACTGCTGCTAATGAGCACTGGAGTGTTGAGAAGTTACAGGGGCTGTTTGCACAGCAGAGGTCTGAGCTGCCTCTCCTTAAAGCCACCCTGTACTTTCTATCTTACAAGAAGCCAAAAAAAATGCCCTGTCCACATCCACGTGGTGGCAAACAAGAACCTGATTCATCCTTAGATAATTTGTGTACATTCTTTTTCTTTTCGTTCCTGAGCAGCCTTTGCATATATATGAAGAAAGCTCTTAAGCGGCACTGCAGTCAAACCTGATCTGCTTTTAGAAGGCAGATCCTTAAATTACCCTCTCCCTCTCTGCAGGCAGGGAATTGCTGGATATTCTGGTGCAAACCCGTGGTGGTGGCACGCGCGTGTTCAGCTCGAGCTGCGCTGCTCTGCTGGGCAGTGACAAAACTCGTGGCCTTGAGCTGGCTGCAGTGGAAGGGCAGGGAGTCCCAGATGGGTGACCTGCAGGGCTGCTTGGGTTCTGCTCCTTGTGAGTTTGGGGCTTACAAACTGCATTTGGGGCAGCCTCACTCAGTGGGGCTGAGGATGATGTGGTGGTCTGCGTGGCTCAAGCAGATGATGACACTGGTGTGACACCCTGGCATCACCCCCAGCAAGGTCACAGAGCAGATCTGGCCACCCCGTCCAGCTTCATCCAAGAACGCAAATCACCTGGCAGGGTCAAGGTCAAGCTGGCTCATCAGCCTGCAGTGTCCCTCTGCTTCTGGAGAGGCAGGCTGGCACTGGAGGGGTGAGCACCCACTTCACTCCTGTGAAAAGCTGGGCAAAGCAGCCATTTGTGTTTGAGCTCCAATCTGCCAGTCCTGTGCTGCAGCCATAGGAAAAAACTCCTTCCTTGCAGCTTTTCTGGCTCAGCCATGTGGTGCTGAGCTCTGGCAGCAGGGACAGCACTGTCCAGGCACAGGGACGTGCCCATGCACTGCTAGTGGCTCGGTGCTGCGTGCCCCAGGCTGCTGCTCGCCCTTTAAGGCCTGGCAGCAGCTGATGACCACGTGTGCAGTGCCTTGGCACCCTCTCCGTGCCCTCTGCGCGGCGGGCACGGGGACGGCCAGCGCAGCAGCTCGTCGGCTGTCCCCTGCTCGGTGGCTGTCCCCCACGCTGGTGGCTGGCACAGGATGAGCGGGTGCCCAGTGGGTGCTGTGTGGGGTGAGGGTCACCATGCAGGCAGCAGGTGAGGGGCTGCCCGCTGCCGTGCCCCACCGTGGCCCCAGGGATTCCCCGGGATGCAGGGTGGGTGACTCCTTCTGCCCTCGCTAAGGGCTCGTCTCTCTGCTCTCCTTCCAGGTTTCAAGTGCCCCATTTGCTCCAAATCTGTGGCTTCTGACGAGATGGAAATGCACTTTATCATGTGTCTGAGCAAACCTCGCCTCTCCTACAACGGTAAGGGCCGGGCTGTGTGGGGGACACGGCGTCCTGCCACCCTGGGATGGCTGCGGGCAGGCTGAAGAGACGTTTTCTGCAGGCAGGCGCCTTGGCTGGGCTTCCCAAGAGGGCTGTGCTCTGGCAGGATGGTGCTGCTCCACTCTGCTCCCCCTTCATGGCTCAAGCCTGCTCCTTTTGCTTTCAGGCTCCTTTGTAACACAGCCCCCTACCCCGAGGGGGGCCCCCTTCCTTCTGTGCCACAGGGAGCCCTGCTGGCGCATGTCCTCCTGGGCTGCCCCCAAAGGGTCATTGCCTTCCTCCCCTCCTTGCTGGCCTTGAGCACTGGGCTGCAAGCTCCAGCTCCGGCATCTCCCACCTCTCTCCTGGCCACTAGTGTGGGAGTAATGCTCACTCCACACTGGTTGGGGATTTTTGGGAAGGCAGGGGTAAGGGTTGTGCTCCCTCCAGATGCCCCAGACCCATGTGCCCCCTGTGCCTCCACAGGAGCCTCCTGCCAGTGTTTCCCAGCACTGTTGCCATTCCACTCCATCCCAGCTGCCCCCGCAGCAGTGACCCTGGGCTCCACTCCATCCCAGGGACGGGAATGCTCTGGTGGTCCCTGTCTCACTGCTGCCCTGTCCTCCCCTCCCAGATGACGTGCTGACCAAGGACGCCGGCGAGTGCGTGATCTGCCTGGAGGAGCTGCTGCAGGGGGACACGATAGCCAGGCTGCCCTGCCTCTGCATCTATCACAAAAGGTACCATGCCAGGCGGGTGGCAAGGGGACAGGCAGGGACACCTGAGGCTCAGCAGTGAGGTGGTAACGTGCTCTCCTCTTGCAGCTGTATAGACTCATGGTTTGAAGTGAACAGATCTTGCCCAGAGCATCCTTCTGATTGACCCGCCGAGCGTGCTTGCTGACTTCTCTCTAAGGTGAGCCTGTGGTGGGCTGCTCAGAAGGGACATTCCCATGCTGGGTTTAAATCCAGGGCTGGAAGTGGAGGACAGGGTGGGATAGGGTGGGACGTGACAGCCAGGGCTCCTGCTCCTCACCCGGGATGGTCTCTCTCTGCCTTTGCAGGGCACCTTGCTATACCTGCTGTACCTCCTCTCCCCGTCCCCCCTGCCCCGCCTGGAGTTTTGGGCTGACTTTAAATTCCTCGAGAAGACAAAAATAAAACCCAGAAACTTGAATCCACTTGGGACAACGGCGCAGTTTTTATTTTATTTTATTATTTTTATTTGTTCTGTTGTTTTTCTGCTTTTTTGTTTTGTTTTGTTTTGTTTTTTTATTTTAATTTAAAAGACTTAAAACAAAAAGAAACATCCAGGAGACGACAGTGTGAGAAAAGCGGAGCGACCTGCTCTCCCCTCCACAGCTGCTGGTCACCAGGAGAGCTCTGCCTGCCAGGGAGGCCCCGGGGACGCCCTCGGCCGAAACCCTGCCATGATGTTTGGCTTTTCTCCCCGAACCGAAAGGGGAAAGCTGCCGGGGGACAGCCGGCCAAACGGAGCACGCGGCATTTCTCACCGGCAACCCCCCCACCTCCCACCCGGACTCGCCCGGGGGCTCTGCTCGGTTTTTTTGCACTGACTAAACGGGAAATTCCTCCTCTCTCCCATCTCCCTTTTGGAGATCTCCACCCCGGGCCCCGGCAGCGTTTGAGATGGGGACTCTGCCCCACGCCGGGAGCGGGGCCACTGCTCCCCCCTGCTGAGTCGCAGGGGTCCGTCTTTCAAGTGTTTACAATGAGAAAAAAAAAGGAAAAAAAAGGAAAAAAAAAGAAGAAAAAAAGAGAAAATGGACAAAAAAAAAAACCAAACAACAAACCACAACTGAAGCTTCGTGTTGACTGGCGTGTTCTTCAATTTGAGCTTCCCTGCCCCGGTGATGTTTACAGACTGGTCACTCTTTAACTCAGCTATAACCACTCAGAGACTGGAGAGCTGCAGCATCCCCGCCGCCCCTCCTCTGCCCCCTCGCCGGGCTCCTCTTGCCAAAACCGCCTCCCCTCTTTCTTTTCCATCGGCTTTGAGTTGAACCCTTTTGAGGAGGGTATGGGGAAGGCCCCAGTGGCCCCCCGGATGCCCCAGCCACCCCTAGCTGCAGGGGTGGCTTTGCTGGAGGTGCCAAGATGGTGTCATTTCATGGCAGTGACCCCCTCGCCCATCCCGTCCCCTCCTGGCGCGGCGGGCGCGTTTTCGTTGGTGAGACCTCCCCTGCCGGTGGCCGTGCCCCTGCGGGAAACCTTTCTGTATTTATATATTAAAAAAAAACGGGGGAAAAAAAGAGTTCAGAGCTTGGGGGGAGCTTCCTTCATTAGTCAAGGTGTTTTGATATGGTATTAAAACAATGTTCAATAAAACATTCACTGTTATTTTATTTCACTGGCTTTCTTGGTGAAGCAGATGATGCCAGTGGGGTGGCTGGAGCCCACCACCCACGCCTGTGCCTGCCATGTGGGGATGGCCACGGTAGTTCTCAGCAGGTGCCAGAGAGCTCCCACCTGGCACTGGCAGCTCTGGGGAAGTGGCTGAGGTGGGACCCTGCCGTGCCCTGTGTGTGCTGTCTGGGACAGGGGCCTCCTGGGAAGGGCCTGCGGGATCCTATCTGCCTAAACAACTTCGCAGCACATGGACAGTGTGAGTCCAAAGGGTTTATTGGGGGTTTGAGGATCCCTGACCCCCAGAAGTGGGGATGGGGTGATTTGTAGGGACACATACAGTGGCACTGCAGGCAGCATGGCCACCCTGGCCTTGACTCCAGGGGCTGAGGCTCTCCAGTGCCAGCTGAGTGCTGGTGCTCCCCCTCAGAGCACCTTGCCGGGGTTCATGAGGTTGTGGGGGTCGAGTGCAGCCTTGATGGAGCGCAGGGTGTCCAGGCCCTCCGGGCCCAGCTCCTCCTGCAGCAGTGCCCGCTTGCCCAGCCCCACGCCGTGCTCCCCGGTGCAGGTGCCCCCTGCTGCCAGAGCCCGCCTGTGGGACAGGGAAGGACAGGGGATGGGGACATCTGTCCGTCCAGCCCCGGCCCCCCAGAGCACCCTGGCCTCACCTGCCCAGGCGCTGGGTGAAGGCGTGGATGCGCTGGGCCTCCTCCGGGTCCTGGGCGTTGAAGACGAGGATGCAGTGGAAGTTGCCATCGCCCACGTGTCCCACCATGGGTCCTGCAAGGCCACGGGTCAGGTGGGGTGTGGCGTGGAGCACAGTGACCCCCCTCCCCCTCTGTCCCAGGGGGCTGTGGCCCTGCTGACCGGTGAGGCTGGAGGCCTGCAGGTCCTGCTTGGTCTCCACCACCACGTCAGGCAGGCGGGAGATGGGCACGCAGACGTCCGTGGAGTAGCCCTGGGCCAGGGAGGGCAGAGCTGTGGCACTCAGAGCACCATGGGCGCTGCTGCCACCATCCCCAGCCTCGTGCCTCACCTGGCAGCCGGGGCGCAGGGCCAGGGCAGCGTACCAGGCGTTGTGGCGCATGGCCCAGAGCTGCTCGCGCTCGTCCAGCCCCTCCGCCCAGGCCAGGCTGGAGCCACTGTTCTGTCGCACGATCTCCTCTGAAGGTGACCAGGAGCTCTGGGACAGGACCCACGGCACCCCCACACACCCAGCCCTTACCCAGGACATCCAGTGCCCATGCTGGCCACCCATCCCACATCCTGGGACACTCCTGGTCCCTCTGTCTCTTGTCCCTGGGTCCCTGTCCACCACCCTGTGGCACCCCTAGTCCCCCCTATCCCATGTTCATGAGCCCCTCATCAGACTCCCAGAGCACACACCCATCCCTCACCCTAGTGTCTTCCCAATCCCCATCCCAAGCATCCATTGCTGGTCCCCCTCCCTGGTCCTGGGCACCTATGCCTCTCCTCAGGACACCCCTGATCTCCCATCCCCTATCCATAGGCAGCCATCCATGACTCCAAGCCCCCAAGTTCTGGGCTATGGTCACTTGTCCCTGATCCTGATGATGTCAAGGTCTCCAGTCCCCACCCAGCCTGGGCACCCATCCCTCACCCCAGATCATGCCTGGTCCCACTGTCCCATGTCTTGGACATCCATCACTCACCCCAGTGCTACATCATGGCCCCCCAGCACCATGCTTCACTTCAGAACACCCTGATCCTCTGTCCCCGGGCACCCATCCCTCATCCCTGGGTGTCCATCATGGCCCCCAGCCCCTGACACCCTCTCCTCCTCCCCATTCCAAGCCATACCCATCTGCTGCTGCTGCTCAGCCAGGCTGCGCCGGGAGCCGTGCAGCTCCAGGAGGAGCGTGGCTGCCACTGGCAGCTCCATCCTACTGAAGCGGCCGCAGGCATCTGCCATCACCTCATCCAGGAACTCTGGGTGGGAGGAGAGAGTGTTGGGCTGCACCGCTGGCAGCTGGACCCCACCTCTGGCTGCAGGCACTCACCGATGCGGGCCACAGGCACGGCGGCCTGCAGCACCTGGACGGTGCAAGCCACGGCTGCCCCCACGCTGGGGAAGGAGGCGATGGTGACAGCAGTGGCCTCGGGCAGCGGGTGCAGGCGCAGCGTGGCCTGAGTCAGGAAGCCCAGGGTGCCCTCAGAGCCCACGAAGAGCGAGGTCAGGTCGTAGCCGGCCGCCCGCTTCCTGCACAGAGCTGGTGAGCAGGCAGCCACAGGGCACACGGCCAGCCCAGCACAGCCCCCCAGCCCCAGCGCCCACCTGGGCTGGCGGCCGGGGCCGGCGGTGTGGAGCAGGCGCCCGTCCGGCAGCACCACGCGCAGGTTGAGCACGTTGGGGCGCATGGTGCCATAGCGCACGGCGTTGGTGCCCGAGGCACCCGTGGCTGCCATGCCACACAGCGAGGCATCGGCCCCAGGGTCTGCAAGTAGGAGGAGGACATGGGAGGCAGGTGGGGATGGTGTCCAGTCCCACATGGATGCCACTGGGACTTCAACAGCAGCAAAACTATGGGTGTCCCCAAAAGCAATGGGGCCATTACACTTTCATTCACACGGGCACCCCTGGGAGCACAGCACACCTGTGGACACCACAGCATCCCCAACACTCCCACAATGCCCAGGCCTAAAGGAATCCCCAGTACCTCCATTGCTGCCACCCCCAGCTCCATGACCCCCTCATGCCCACAGTACCGACAGGGAACCAGAACCCGGTGCCACGCAGGTGCTTATTGAGGGCCTTGCGGGTGACACCGGGCTCCACCGTCACCGAGAAGTCCTCGAGGCTCAGCTCTGCGATGGCGTCCATGCGGCTCAGGTCAAAGCAGACACCGCCCTGGCACAGGGGCACGCGGGGCTCTGGGCACGGCCGGGCACCCAGAGCCCCTGGGGGGCCGAGGGGCTGGGGCAGCCCATACCTGCACGGCATTGACGCCTCCTTCCAGGCCCGTACCGGTGCCGAAGGGCACCATGGGCACACGGCGGCCGTGACAGAGGGCTGCCAGCTCCTGCACCTGCCCCACAGCCTGGGGCCACACCACGACGTCCGGAGGGGCACAGCTGGGGCACAGGCAGCACCACTGAGCAACTGACGGAACCACTCGAGCCTCCCCGTGGCCCTTCCCCAGCCTGGCACTTGTCACGTAGCCCTTGCCTTCCCCACAGCCCCTTGTCTACCCACAGAGTTCCCATTCCCGGAGCCAGCCCCTCCCCTACGACCCTTCCCGTTCCAGTGGCTCCTGCCTTGCCCGGATCTCTTCCCTTCCCGCGGCCCTTCCCCTCGCCAGGGCTCCCCGCTCCAGGGGCACTCACGGGTGCATGGACTCATCGTGGCCGTGCTGCTCCCGCACCGCCGTGGCCGTGGAGACATTGGGGGCCCCGACCACGGCCCTCAGGGCCTCCACGAAGTCAGGGGGCAGCGAGGGCTGCGGGGGGAACAACGAGGGCCCGTCAGGGATGCCCTGGGGAGGGTCTGATGGCGGCACGTCAGCACCCGAGTGGCCTCTGGAGCCCCGGCCCCACCTTGGAGCAGCAGCTGCGGCGCCCCGGGGCTGCCGCCAGCGCCAGCACCCTCCGCAGGGCCATGTTGCAACGGGACAAGAACGGGAACATGGGAACAGGACCGGGACACTGCCCTCCCCCGCAGCCTGTCTGTCCCTCCCCCGCGCTGACACCTTAAGGTGGCTCCGGCCACACGCCAGTGTGTCCCTGCCAGGGGGACCTGGCTCCCACCAGTGCCTGGGCTCATTGTCCCCGTGCTGTCCCCTGCCTGCGCCGAGTCACTGCATTCACCATGGCCCCTACCATCACAGGTGTCCCCACGTCTGCTCAAGTATCCCCACAGCTGCTCACAGGTCCATGACCCCATAGGGGACCACGCTCCTCCCTTGCCAGACAGGAGTCCCCATGTCCCCCTGTCCATCTGTCCCCATTCCCAAGCAGGTGTGCCCAAGGCCCCCTGTCCATCTGTCCCCATTCCCACTCAGGGGACCCCATGCCCCCGTCCATCTGTCCCCGTTCCCAGCCAGGTGTCCCACGCTGCTCAGTGTTCCTGGACAGGTGTCCTCATGCCCAGAGAACCGACCCCAGCCCACCGTGTGCACCCATCCTCAGACCCCCGGCCACCCGCCTGCCCCGTGCCCCTCTCCTGTGCATCCCGGCATGGTGACAAGGACACAGTGCTCAGGGGATTATTGCAGAGTTTATTGCAGGCCTCAGTTGGCCTCCAGGATGGAGTCGATCCAGCCGCGAAGCTTGGTGACGCGGGCGTACACGGTGGGCGACTTGGTGTCGCAGGTGCTGCTGCCCCAGGAGACGATGCCCACCAGGTTCCAGGCGCCGTCCTTCTGGCACACCAGCGGGCCCCCGGAGTCGCCCTGCACGGGGCAGCGGGTGAGCGCCGGCCCGGGGCCCGGGACCGCCAGGGGCAGCGGGGCCGGGGGCACCTACCATGCAGGAAGAGGCTCCGTCGGCACCGGCACAGACCATCACGTCGCGGATGCGGAACCCCCAGAACTCCTTGCACTGGGCGTTGGTGAGCAAGGGCAGAGCCACCTGCTGCAGCACCGCCGGCGTGTGCGAGGCTGCGGGACAGGGGAGCGTCAGCGACGGCAGCGGGAATGGGGAAGGGGCTGGGACGGGGAGGGCGGGACTGTGATGATGGTGGACACGGGGACAGGATTGGGTCAGCCTTGGGGATGGCTGATGGGGATGAGGAATGGGACTGAGACAAAGATGGGGATATAGGAATGGCATGGGGATTCAGATTCAGATTTGCATGAGGATCTGGATGGGACATTGCCATGAGCATTATGATTCAGATGAGGACAGGGACTGACCCCATGGATGAGGAAGGGGACAGCGGACAAGGATGGGGATGGGTATTGGGATGAGGCAGGGCACCACAATGGGGATGGGGACAAGGAAGTGCAGTTACCGCTGGAGTCAGTGAGCCCCCAGCCAGTGGTGACGCAGGTCATTCCCCCTGGGAACTCGTCAGTGGCCTTGGGCAGGCAGACGGGGGACACGCGATCCGACAGCTGTGCTGGAGTGGCCAGTTTGATCAGGGTGATGTCGTCCTGGATGGTCAGCATGTTGAACTTGGGGTTCTTGAAGACCTGAAGCACACAGCACTGCTCTCAGCACCTGCACTCCCTGCCAGGGTGCCGGGCACTGGGCACTCCTCAGGGATCAGTAGGGACCGTGGGGAACAGTGGGGACCCCAGGGGCTGCTCCTGCAGGTCCCGTGATGGCAGGGTGTCTGAGCTGCAGGCCCTGGGACACTGGGGAGCAGGGACAGCCCAGGTCACATCCCCTGCTGGCATGAAATGGACTCTGAGGATCAGTGGGAGCAGGAGATTGCAATGCAGGGATGTGGGACACCATGCACACCCCAGGGAACCCTCACCCTCCGCATCAGGGGAAGCGGGGACTCCTCAGGAGCACAAACCCCGGCACAAGGGGGACCCGGACATAAGCCCCCGGGCCGCCTGTGCTGGCCGTGGGATCCCGCAGGCACACGGGCCCCGCCCCGCAGGTACCTTCTCGATTTTCAGCTCCTGCTGATCAGGGCCGGGTGCGTCCTGGTCGTAGGCGCCCACCACCACGGTGTCGGTTTTCCTGAGCACAGGCAGGCACTAAGCATGGGGACAGCTGGCTCCCAGGGCACCCCGTGCCCGTGCCCGGCCCCGGCCCGGCCCGCAGCAGAGCCGGTGCCTACCTGACGCCGCAGTGGGCAGCGGTGACCACCCAGTTCTCGCTGATCAGGGACCCGCCGCAGAAGTGGAAGCCGTTGTTGCGCTGGCGGGGAGAGCCGCCCTCAGCACCCGGCACCGCCGCCGGCACCGCCGCCGGCGAGCTCCGTGCCCGGGCCCCGCACGGCGCCCACCCCCGCCCCCGGCCCGCCTCGGGCTCTCACCTGCAGGGACACCTGCCACGGCCAGGAGCCTGCCACCGCCGCCTCCCCGTTGACAATGCGGTTGTAGCCGCGGATGACCGGTGTGATGGCGGGCACGCCGCAGTCTGCGGGGCACAGGCGGCCGTGGGACGGCGGCTCCAGCCACCCCGGCCCCGTGTCCCCTCCCCACCACTGCCGCCCGCCCGAGCCCCGAGCCCATCCCGCCAAGCCCCACGGCCCCACGCACTCTCAGGGAGGGCGGCACGGGCAAAGCCCGCCAGCGCCAGGCAGCTCAACACCCACAGCAGAGCCATTGCCACTTGCGAGGACTGACCTACCCGGCGCCCGCTGGCTCTTATATGCACCCTTGGGCACCTCCCTGCTGCCCCTGGCCTTGCCACCGCGACCTTGGGAGATAGCGTGGCAGCTGGTATGGTGCCACCGGCATATTGCCAGCACTCGAACCTTCTCACCCCACTCCTTGGTGTCCCAGACACCTGGACCTCTGGATGAACCCCTGTCTGGGTGGCAGCCTGGAAGGGCTCTGCAGACCCAGCCCTAGGTGAACTCCGTGGTCCTTCCAAACTCCACTACTCCATGGCAAAGTGTGCGGGCAGCCCAAAAAACCCCACAGTATCTTTGGCTAAAACTGCAGCAGACTGAGGAGCACGTCAAGGGAGGGGACTATGCTCCTCTGCTCTGCTATGCTGAGACCATGCATGCAGTGCTGTGCCCAACTCTGGGACCCCAATTATGAAGGACATGGGCAACCTGGAATGATTCCAAGGACATTTAGGTGCCAGCATTTAGTCCAGGCCGGTGCGGTCCCACAGCATAGCCAAGGATGCTGGCTCCAGGTGTCATGATCCCAGGCTATTTCCTGGAGAAGTTCCAGCTGCCACGCTATCTCCCAAGGTCGCGGTGGCAAGGCCAGGGGCAGCAGGGAGGTGCCCAAGGGTGCATATAAGAGCCAGCGGGCGCTGGGCAGGTCTGTCCTCACGAGTGGCAATGGCTCTGCTGTGGGTGTTGAGCTGCCTGGCGCTGGCGGGCTTTGCCCGTGCCGCCCTCCCTGAGAGTGCGTGGGGCCGTGGGGCTTGGCGGGATGGGCTCGGGGCTCGGGCGGGCGGCAGTGGTGGGGAGGGGACAGTATCTTGCCACCCTCCCTGAGAGTGCGTGGGGTCGTGGGGCTTGGCGGCGACAGCTCATCACGGGACCTGCAGGAGCAGCCCCTGGGGTCCCCACTGGTCCCCACGGTCCTTACTGATCCCTATGGAGTGCCCAGTGCCGAGCACCCCGGCAGGGAGTGCAGGTGCTGAGAGCAGTGCTGTGTGCTTCAGGTCTTCAAGAACCCCAAGTTCAACATGCTGACCATCCATGACGACATCACCCTGATCAAACTGGCCACTCCAGCACAGCTGTCGGATCGCGTGTCCCCCGTCTGCCTGCCCAAGGCCACTGACGATTTCCCAGGGGGAATGACCTGCGTCACCACTGGCTGGGGGCTCACTGACTCCAGCGGTAACTGCACTTCCTTGTCCCCATCCCCATTGTGGTGCCCTGCCTCATCCCAATACCCATCCCCATCCTTGTCCGCTGTATCCTTCCTCATCCATGGGGAAGGACAGTCCTTGTCCTCACCTGAATCCCCATGCCATTCCCCTATCCCCGTCTCTGTCCCAGTCCCAGTCCCATTCCTCATCCCCATCAGCCATCCTCAAGGCTGACCCAGTCCTGTCCCCATGTCCACCATCGTCACGGTCCCGCCCTCCCTGTCCCAGCCCCTTCCCCATTCCCGCTGCCGTCGCTGACGCTCCCCTGTCCCGCAGCCTCGCACACGCCAGCGGTGCTGCAGCAGGTGGCTCTGCCCTTGCTCACCAACGCCCAGTGCAAGGAGTTCTGGGGCTTCCGCATCCGCGACGTGATGGTCTGTGCCGGTGCCGACGGAGCCTCTTCCTGCATGGTAGGTGCCCCCGGCCCCGCTGCCCCTGGCGGTCCCGGGCCCCGGGCCGGTGCTCACCCGCTGCCCCGTGCAGGGAGACTCCGGGGGCCCGCTGGTGTGCCAGAAGGACGGCGCCTGGAACCTGGTGGGCATCGTCTCCTGGGGCAGCAGCACCTGCGACACCAAGTCGCCCACCGTGTACGCCCGCGTCACCAAGCTTCGCGGCTGGATCGACTCCATCCTGGAGGCCAACTGAGGCCTGCAATAAACTCTGCAATAATCCCCTGAGCACACTGTGTCATTGTCACCGTGCCAGGAGCAATAGGAGTGCGGCACGGGGCAGGCGGGTGGCCGGGGGTCTGAGGATAGGTGCACGTGGTGGTCTGGGGTCAGTCCTCTGGGCATGAGGACACCTGTCCAGGAGTGCTGAGCAGCGTGGGACACCTGGCTGGGAATGGGGACAGATGGACGGGGGCATGGGGACCGATGGACAGGGGACATGTTGACACCTGTCTGGCAAGGGAGGAGCATGGGGGCATGTGGTCCCCTATGGGGTCATGGACCTGTGAGCAGCTGTGGGGATGCCTGAGCAGACGTGGGGACACCTGTGATGGTAGGGGCCATGGTGAATGCAGTGACTCGGCGCAGGCAGGGGACAGCACGGGGACAATGAGCCCAGGCTCTGGTGGGAACCAGGTCCCCCTGGCAGGGACACACTGGCGTGTGGCCGGAGCCACCTTAAGGTGTCAGCGCGGGGGAGGGACAGACAGGCTGCGGGGGAGGGCAGTGTCCCGGTCCTGTTCCCATGTTCCCGTTCTTGTCCCGTTGCAACATGGCCCTGCGGAGGGTGCTGGCGCTGGCGGCAGCCCCGGGGCGCCGCAGCTGCTGCTCCAAGGTGGGGCCGGGGCTCCAGAGGCCACTCGGGTCCTGACGTGCCGCCATCAGACCCTCCCCAGGGCATCCCTGACGGGCCCTCGTTGTTCCCCCCGCAGCCCTCGCTGCCCCCTGACTTCGTGGAGGCCCTGAGGGCCGTGGTCGGGGCCCCCAATGTCTCCACGGCCACGGCGGTGCGGGAGCAGCACGGCCACGATGAGTCCATGCACCCGTGAGTGCCCCTGGAGCGGGGAGCCCTGGCGAGGGGAAGGGCCGCGGGAAGGGAAGAGATCCGGGCAAGGCAGGAGCCACTGGAACGGGAAGGGTCGTAGGGGAGGGGCTGGCTCCGGGAATGGGAACTCTGTGGGTAGACAAGGGGCTGTGGGGAAGGCAAGGGCTACGTGACAAGTGCCAGGCTGGGGAAGGGCCACGGGGAGGCTCGAGTGGTTCCGTCAGTTGCTCAGTGGTGCTGCCTGTGCCCCAGCTGTGCCCCTCCGGACGTCGTGGTGTGGCCCCAGGCTGTGGGGCAGGTGCAGGAGCTGGCAGCCCTCTGTCACGGCCGCCGTGTGCCCATGGTGCCCTTCGGCACCGGTACGGGCCTGGAAGGAGGCGTCAATGCCGTGCAGGTATGGGCTGCCCCAGCCCCTCGGCCCCCCAGGGGCTCTGGGTGCCCGGCCGTGCCCAGAGCCCCGCGTGCCCCTGTGCCAGGGCGGTGTCTGCTTTGACCTGAGCCGCATGGACGCCATCGCAGAGCTGAGCCTCGAGGACTTCTCGGTGACGGTGGAGCCCGGTGTCACCCGCAAGGCCCTCAATAAGCACCTGCGTGGCACCGGGTTCTGGTTCCCTGTCGGTACTGTGGGCATGAGGGGGTCATGGAGCTGGGGGTGGCAGCAATGGAGGGGATGGTGATGAGGACACACTTGAGGAGCCTCTAGGACTGAGGGTGCCACCGTTCCTGTGGTTCTGAAAGGGATGGATTGCCAGGACCAGGAATGCTTGGGGTCATGAGTGACCATCCTCTCTGCCACACCAAACCCATAGGGCCCACAGTGACCATGGCCCCTGGCAAGGTGCTGTGAGGGACACTCATCACATACTGGTTCTGGGGCTATTTGGGCCCCAGTGCCCTGCTTTTCCACTCCTCATTTTCTCCCAACCCTCCTAGGCCAAGCCCTTGTGTCCCATTAACCCTCTGTGCACCTGCAGTCTCCCAAGGCTAGGAGTTCTTTTCAGAGGACAGGATCTCTCCAGCACTGCCACAGGGCCTCTCCCTCACCCCAGCAGGCACACACAGATACCCAGGAGATAAGGGGTGTTTCTAGGCAAATCTTTATACTGCTGAGGGACTTGGGGCAAATTTTTGGAGGGGGCTGCCACGTGGTAGCTCCGGGAACCAGCGGAAGCTTCCCCTGTGTTCAAAAGGCACCAATTTCGGTTCGCGTTTCGGTTACAGCTGGTACTGTAGCACAACCCGAGTCATGAGAACGCACAAGTTAGCCCCTTCCTGCCCCAGCAGCTCCCCACCACCCCTAACACCCCTGGGGACCCCTATCCCCAGCCTCCAGCACACAAGGGGACAGTACAACCCATCTGTCACACTGTCCCACCACCACAGGGGATGGCTTCCACACCATCAGAACCTCCTGGCCCCTGTGGAATTTCTCCAGAGTGCACCGTAGAGTCCTCCCGAGAGCAGAGCAGCCACAGCATCACAAAGGGCATCTCAAATTGCATCTCAAGTCACCAGGCACATCCTTGACTCATCAGGGACATGGCCCCATGCCCTTCAGCCCAGAACTGGCTGCCGGTTTTGTATGGAGAGAAGACAGTGGGGAAGGAGTGGACACAGATCTGTCTCCCAGCTTTGCTTCGTTACGGGCACAGCTCAAACCATTCCTGGCCCCTGGCCACAGGGAGGAGGAAGGGATAGGATGGCTGCAGCCCCTCACCTCTATTCCCACAGAGCCCCAGCCCCCCCGGTGTGCGTGGGAGTCTCTATGTACATGTCTGTTTACACCGGGCAGAGAGGACTTGCATGGAGGGAAATGCATGTCTGGGGAAGGGTGGGGGCCAGAGAGAGGGGACAGTGGCCCTGAGGCCATCACATGGCTGCCAGCTGGCCCAGCACCATCCTGAACTGCTGCGTGCTGTTGGCGAGGTCCTTGACACGCTCCACCATGTCCTTGGAGGCGGAAGGAGACGGGTAGTGGAGGGCAGCTGCCTTGGTGGTCATCACGATCTCCTTGAGCATCTCACAGAGGAGGTTGCTGTAGTGCATCACCTTGTGCTGGACGTCCTGGGCCTTGGCCTGGCGGGACAGCGTGTCCCCAATAAAGACAAGCTTGTGGGCACTGAGGATGACAAACTTGCTGTGGGCCACAAAGATTTTGGGAGGTTGGTTGGTGCTGACAGCAGTGAAGAAGGCATCGACAGCGTTGGTGAGCGTGGTGAGGTTGGCCTCGCACTGCTCCAGGTAGAAGAGCAGGAGCTGGCGGTCAGCAGGACACAGTGTCCCACCGCCGCGCGCGGGGCTGTAGTGCTGGGGGGGGCTCCAGTTGGACAGGTCGTTGTCGATGGGGCGCGTCACCTCCTGCTCCAGCCGCTCAAACTGCTTCAGCTGTGGAGAGACACGTGTGGGGCAGGGTGACCACTGAGCCAGCACCTGCTCCCCTCCATGGAGCCACCAGCACAGGTGGCCATGGCCACCAGCCCCAGGGAACACAGTGAGAGACAGCGCCAGCCCCAGGACAGCCATGCTAGGCTCCTCTCCAGGATCAAAGTGCCTACTCCCCTCTTTACTAGCATAGCACTGGTATGGAAAGCAAGGTAGAACGCACCACGAGAACATCCAGGGGATGAGGGCTGTGGTCAGACCAGCAGCAGAGGTTACAACTGAAGCAAGACATGGGGCCCTGTGCATGGCAGCACCCACCTGCCTGCCCCAGTGTCCTTACCTGCTGGTGCTCCAGCTGGTCTTTGCTCTGCCGGATGATGTTGCCTTTCTCCAGCAGCTCCTTCTGGGTCTTCTCAAACTCCTCCTTGCCCTGCAGGGGCATGACATGGAAGGGGTCAGCAACACCAGCCTTGCCAGAGAGCCCCCCCTGCTCTGGGACATCCCTGGTCCACAAAGCCCTCAAATTGGAGGGTAAGAGCAAAACACAGGCAGAAGCAGAGCTGCCTAATCCCCCCTGTGCCAGAGAGAAACCATCATACATACTCCCTGTGGGAAGCAGCCCCCATACCCGTGCCCACCTGGAGATGGACATAGTCATAATCCTCCATCCAGCCGCTCTCGCTGTTCTCGTAGGGTCCGTCAGGTGACTCCTGGGCCAGCAACTTGGGAGGGGAGGGCAGGGGCCGTGACTGGATGCTGCTGGCCTTGTCGGAGGGGTGAGGGGGCCCATGGCCACCACTCTCCGCCACCGGCTTTGTCCGTTTGAAGAGAAGGGAGGCATTGCCATGTAGGAAGGAAGCCAACTGCTTAGTGTCATCAGGAACACCACGTGAGTGCATGATGAAGTGCTCCAAGTCATCTGTGCCCGACTTGCTGCTGGCCAGAGCACTGGGGGCCCAGTGGCAAGCGTCCAGCGCTTGGCCGTGCCGTGCCAGCGCCTGGTAGACCTCCTCCATCTTCTGCAGCTGCTTGCTGAGCTTAGTGTAGAGAGAGCGGTCAGAAGCCTGGGCAGCATTGCCCACTGCCCCCCGGGCAAACTCCAGCAGGTCCCGGAGGGCCGTCCGGACGCCCTCGGCTGCCCCACGGATGTTGGCAGCATTGGCCTCCATGTGCTCGGGGCTGCGCCAGTTGGTGCTGATAAAGGACATGAGGTAGGAGACAGCGCTGCTGACGCCACTCTGGAGCTTGGCCAGTGTCTCCATGGCGGCATCCAAGTCCAGGGAGAACTCCTTGCCGGCTCCCTTAGCCGGCTCCTTCACAGGCACCACGTCCAGCGAGGATGTGGAGATGTTGCTGCGGGTGCTGCCTGTGCTGGAGGCCGAGAGGCGCTTGGCATCAGCACCCTTGGCCTCACGGTCTACTTGTGGTGGGACATCATAGATGTACTCGCCCTCCGTGTCCACAGAGCCCTTGCCTGGGGCGTGCAGGTCCCGGGGCACATCGTACACCTCCTGGGAGGGGAAGGTGGGTCCCCCCAGCTTCTTGAGGCTGGGGGGCACGTCGTAGATCTCATGGGAGTGTGGCAGCTCAGGAGCACCTTTCCCAGCTGCCGGGGGCACATCGTAGACATCCTCTGGCAAGTAGGGCTCCTGCTGGGCCAGGATGAGGGGGTGGCGGGAGGGGTCAAAGGCTTTCTGCTTGGCAAAGGCAGGTGGCACATCATAGGTCTCCTCCCGTGCTGGGCCATCCGGCACGTCCTTGCTCACTGAGGGGGGGACATCGTACACCTGCAGGGGCAGAACAGTGGCACTGTCAGCACTGCTGGGAGGGGTGGCCTGGGGCACGTGTGGAGGCACAGGCTCCACACAGGTGGAGGGCACACAAGTGCCAGCACTGAGCATCCAAGACAGCACCGGATGGGCACTGGGATGAAGCCATGCACCCCAGGGGTGCTCCTGTCCTTTGGCACAGTAATCAAAAAATCCTAGAGCAGCCCAGGTTGGAAGGGACTTTGAAAGATCATCTGGTCCAACCTCATCCCCTGGATGTGAACATCCAGCAACCCATTCCTTGGCATTCTGAAAGCCTCCAGAGCCAGGGACATCACCATATCTATGGGGAGACTGATTTAGTAAATTATTTTTCTCCCTGCAAAAATCTGTTTGTCATTCTTACACAAAGAAGCTGGGAGTTTCCCAGCAGCACTTACAGTTTGGTGCAAGTTCTTCTCCACGCTGGGGGGCACGTCGTAGATCTCTTGCCCCGGGTCCTGCCCATTGGGACCCTTCACTGCCATGGGAGGAGTGTCATAGACCTGGAGAGGGGAACACAGGATGATGTCAGGGATGGTGTGGCCACCCACTTCCCCTCAGGGATCAGCTGGGAATGGTGGAAGTGCTCAGAAGTGGCACTGAGGTCCATAAAATACAGTTTTGGGTGCAATTTAGCCTGGTATGGATCTCAGGCTGTGACAGATCATCTCCCATTTTTAAGGGCAGAGCCAGAGATTCCCCCCTGACACCCCAAGCAGCCTCACCTCCTGGCTGAACTGGCTCGGGACCCCTCCTCGGACAGGTGGCACGTCATAGATTTCCTGGGAACCCGTGGAGATGAGGTGGCGCGGGAAATCGTACTCAACCTGCTCACCCTTGGGGGAGTCATAGACATACACCTGGCCCACACGGGTGGGCACCAGCACCTGGAAAGAGGGAAAAGACATGATGTGGGCACTACCGAGCATCTCCCACCGTGCATCATCTCCCCAAAACCCAGCACGCAGCCAGAGAGAGGATGGCTGCTGGATTCCGTACTGGATTGCCTGGAATCAGGCTCTGCCCGGTGCCACGGGAGGGCGCTGCCCGGCCGGGCGTGCGGCGATGCCGGGGACGGGATGATATCACCGGTTATTTATAGCGGCGATAGAGTCTCAGCGAGAGACAAAGCCCGGCCGGCACAGCCGTGGCATGCAGAAAGCAACGGCCGATCCAGGCATGGGCCGGGGTCTGCCAGCGCCTGGAGATCCCCCCCTACCCACAGCTCCGTGCCTGAACGGGTCATTTCATGGTGACACCAGAGCGGAAAATAACCAAACCCAGGGGGTAATGGCACCCTGCCCAAGCAGTGCCAAGCAGGGCTGAGGCACTGGGCTGGTTCTTCCTTTTCGGATGTTCCTTGTGCCCTGGCTGTGATCTGGCAGCTCCCTCCCCTCACTGGCTGCTTCCCAGGGGTATGAGTTGGAGTAGCCTTCCCGGAAACCACGATACTGAAAGCGCCTCACTCCTCTTCCCTGGGATGACGTGCCAGGGTTAGGGGCAGAGCCAGAAGGAGGCTGGTGTCCAGGATGGAGCCGTTAGGCTCCATGCTGGGGACAGCCTGGTGGCTCACCCTTGCCTCACCAGTGTACCTAGCAAGAACTGGCAGGCTGCCTGGCACAGTCGGGAAATGCTGGCACTGCCTGTCTGTTCCTGTGCACGCTCCCAGGAGGAACAAAATCTCACAGCATTGTGCTGGGTACCACAGCTACTTCCACAGCTCCAGAACCTGGCATCCCAAAATAACTCTTGGCTTACCAACACTCTGTGTTCATACCAAACACAAGGACCAGAGTGCTGAATGCTGCGCTAGCCCCAAGAGGGGCAGCTCACACTAACCGAGGCACCTCAGCCACTGCAGGGACTCTCCCAGTGCACCCACTGCTGCCAGCAGTGTGGGCAAGGATGCTCACACAACCCCAGCAATGGGCACATGGGCTGCCTGCTCCAAGCGTAGCAAGCTGAGAAACCCAAGCTGTGCCACCCACGAACAACAGAGCACCCCACAAACACAACACACTCCCAGTCCAGTCTCCCCATCCTACCTTTCCCTGGGGCTTGTGCCCTTCCCAGCTCCTCATGTCCAGTGACGGTGGCACCTGGTAGATTTCTTGAGCCTGACCAGCTGAAGGAGGAACCTGGTAGACATCCTGGGGGGGACTGGCAGAGCCCCCTGGGTACGCTTCTGCTGCCTGGCCCAGGGAGGGGGGAACCTGGTAGATTTCCTGGCCGGGGTTGGGGAAGGTGTGAGGAGCTGCCTGCTTCGGGTAGGTGGAAGGCTGCTTAGCTGGGGCAGGAGGAAACTGTCCAGTGGGCGCAGAGCCCGGGTACAGACCCTGCTGTCCCTTGCTGGGGACTGGCATCAGATAGACATTGTCCCCTTGGGGGGCGTAAGCAGGGTGCATGGGGGTGTACTGCGAGGCGGGCGACAGCGGGGTGTAGCCCCCTTGGTGGTGGAAGGGCAGAGCCGGCTGGGGTACAGATGGCTGCGGCGCTGCCTGCCCCTGTGCCGGGGCAGGCGCTTGCTGCTGCGGCTGCTTCTTGTCGTACATCCCCACGAGAATCTTGAGGCGGTTCCCGGGAACGATGCCCTGCCGGCCATGGAGCGAACAGAGCCACCAGCCATCCAGCCCCTGCGTGTTGCGCTCCAGCACCGTCATGATGTCGCCCTTGCGGAAGGAGAGCTCGTCCGGGGACTCGGCCACGTTGTCGTACAGCGCCTTGGCCAGCACGTTCTGGAAGAGAGCCCCGCGCCGGGGCGGTGAGCCGGGCCCCGCCGGCCGGTGGGGCGTCATCCCGGCGGGGGACAGCGGGGCGGCAGCTCAGCAGCACCGGGACGGAGCCCCGCGGGCCGGGGGCTTCGCCGCGCAGCTCCCGCCAGCTGGATCTCCCCGCTCCAGCCTCCGCGGGATTCCTCGCTGGAGCAAAACCCACCC